CCCGACCCCATTTACCTTCCTGACCCCTCCTCTCGCTGTGGGGTTTTGCCACGGAGGGGGTTTTGTAGAGGAAGCCGCAGTGGGTGACGCAGGGCAGCGGCTCTGTGTAGGGTTCCGCCGCGCCGCACCCCAAATCCGGGCAGGGGGGCTCTGAGCAAAGCAAACCCACATTTAGGGCAGCAAAACCCCATAGGGACCCCAACCCCAAATCCCCTTGGCTGGGACAGCAAAACCCCATAGGGACCCCAACCCCATATCCCGTATTATGGGGCAGCAAAACCCCATAAGGACCCCAACCCAGGTGGGGACATTTGGGGACCCTGACCCCACATTTAGGCAGAAAAACCCCATAGGGACCCGAACCCCATATCCCTTATTATGGGGCAGCAATATCCCATAGGGAACCCCAACCCCATATCCCAAAATATGGGGCAGAAAACCCCCATAGCAGACCCCAATCCCAAGATTTAGGGCAGCAAAACCCCATAGGAACCCCAATCCCATAACCTTATTATGGGCCAGCAAAACCCCATAGGGACCCCAACCCCATATCCCAAAATATGGGGCAGAAAACCCCTATAGCAGACCCCAAACCCCACATTTAGGGCAGCAAAACCCCATAGGGACCCCAACCCCATAACCTTATTATGGGGCAGGAAAACCCCATAGGGACCCCAACCCCATACCCTTATTATGGGGCAGCAAAACCCCATTAGGGCCCCAACCCAGGTATGGACATTTGGGGACCCCGACCCCACATTTAGGGCAGCAAAACCCCATAAGGACCCCAACCCCATAACCTTATTATGGGGCAGCAATATCCCATAGGGACCCCAACCCCATATCCCAAAATATGGGGCAGAAAAACCCCATAGCAGACCCCAAACCCCACATTTAGGGCAGCAAAACCCCATAGGGACCCAAACCCAAGGGGAACCCCATAGAGACCCCAACCCCATATCCCTTATTATGGGGCACAAAACCCCAATAGGGGACCTCAACCCCATGTTTAGGGCAGCAAAACCCTATAGGGACCCCAACCCCATATCCCACACTATGGGGCAGAAAACCCCATAGGAACCACAACCCAGGTGGGGACTTCTGGGGACCCCAACCCCACATTTAGGGCAGCAAAACCCCATAAGGGACCCCACCCCCATTTCCCCGATGGGACGGCAAAACCCCATAAGGACCCCAACCCCATATCCCTAAATATGGGGCAGAAAACCCCCATAGCAGACCCCAAACCCCATATTTAGGGCAGCAAAACCCCATAGGGAACCCAACCCAAGAGGACCCTTGGCGACCCCAACCCCATATCCCTGAATATGGGGCAGAAAACCCCATAGGAACCCCAACCCAGGTGGGGACATTTGGGAACCCCAACCCCACATTTAGGGCAGCAAAACCCCATAAGGGACCCCACCCCCATTTGCCCTATGAGACGGCAAAACCCCATAGGGACCCCAACCCCATATCCCTAAATATGGGGCAGCAAAACCCCATAGGGACCCCAACCCCATAACCTTATTATGGGCCATCAGAAACCCATAGGGACCCCAACCCCATACCCTTATTATGGGGCAGCAAAACCCCAAAAGGACCCCAACCCAGGTATGGACATTTGGGGACCCCAACCCCACATTTAGGGCAGCAAAACCCCATAGGGACCCGAATCCAAGGGGCAGAAAACCCCATAGAGACCCCAACCCCATATCCCTTATTATGGGGCAGAAAACCCCAATAGGGGACCTCAACCCCACATTTAGGGCAGCAAAACCCCATAGGCGCCCCAACCCCATTCCCGTACTATGGGGCAGCAAAACCCCATAGAGACCCCAACCCCATAACCTTATTATGGGGCATCAAAACCCCATAGGGACCCCAACCCCATATCCCTTATTATGGGGCAGCAAAACCCCACAGGGACCCCAACCCCATATCCCTAAATATGGGGCAGAAAACCCCCATAGTGGACCCCAAACCCCAGATTTAGGGCAGCAAAACCCCATAGAACCCCACCCCCATATCCCTAAATATGGGGCAGCAAAATCCCATAGGGGACCCCAAACCCTTACCCTTATTATGGGGCAGAAAACCCCATAGGAACCCCAACCCCATAACCTTATTATGGGACAGCAAAACCCCATAGGGACCCCAACCCCATATCCCCAGCTATGGGGCAGAAAACCCTATAGAACCCCAACCCCATAACCTTATTATGGGGCAGCAAAACCCCATAGGGACCCCAAACCCATATCCCAAAATATGGGGCAGAAAACCCCCATAGCAGACCCCAAACCCCACATTTAGGGCAGCAAAACCCCATAGGGACCCCAACCCCATACCCTTATAATGGGGCAGAAAACCCCATAGGGACCCCAATCCCATACCCTTATTATGTGCCATCAAAACCCCATAGGAACCCCAACCCCATATCCCTAAATATGGGGCAGCAAAATCCCATAGGGGACCCCAACCCCATAACCTTATTATGGGGCAGCAAAACCCCATACAGACCCCAACCCCATATCCCTAAATACGGGGCACAAAACCCCATAAGGACCCTAAACCCCACATTTAGGTCAGCAAAACCCCATAGGGACCCCAACCCCATATCCCAAAATATGGGGCAGAAAACCCCTATAGCAGACCCC